CAAAGCATAAGACACAAAGTCTCATTATCCTGCCTTCTAAGGAGAATTCTGGCTATACTTCTTTCAAGACATAATTGTTTGTTCTTCTGGCAATTCCTCTAGCTAGGCAATGAATAAGGTCTTCATTATTTATTGCCCAGCTTTCATATCCATAGGAGAAAATACTATGACTTGGTTCAGATGCACCTTAGTCCTCAAATTGGTATCTTTGCTCATTAACACTTTAAAAGAGGTCTTGTGCAGCAGAATTGCCTAATGCAAACGTTATTTAAATTCTTTACTGCTGCTTCCATGTGTGTTGATTGTGGATCCAAGCAAATGATGTCTTTGATAACTTCAATCCTTTTTCCATTTATCATCATATTACTTATTGGTCCTGCTGTGAGGACTATTAATGGATGTTTGCAGTCATTTCTCCTCATTTTGAGTTGTGCTCCAGAGGAAGCCAATCTGTGCCAGGTAGTGAAGGATAAAGTAAAAAGAGTTAGTGCATGTGTGGAATGATGGGAAATCGATCCTAAATAGAATGGAGCATATTCACTGAGTAGTAGTGATTTGGGGAGGACACTTTGAGAGAGTCTAGAGTCTTGTGTCACTGTAGGGTAAGCACAGGATTGCTAACTGCATGGTCAGGGTTCAAATTCACCAGTCGCTCCTTAGAAGCCTATGCAGGGTCGCTACAAGTCAGAATCGACTCGACAGCACCTCATAACAACTGAGGCTTTCTGCTCCAGTAAAGATTTACAGCCTCAGACACAGTGCACGGTGTCTCTCTATGAATTAGAAGTTACTCAATAGCAGTGGTTTACATTACAGAGACTCTCTGCTCAGAGGGCTATGATCTGAAAGGAATCTCATAAAACATGCTGTTGGTGCTCAGCCTGGATCCACTGAAACCTTTCACTGTAGTCCACCGATCACCCAAGTTCCCTGCATTGCTGCCAATGGCTCACACATCACATAAGCAATCGTCTATGGAATACTGTCCTTAGGCAACAGAAGCCTCCTGGTAGTCCCCTTAGCTCCCCCACATAATTCCAGGACAGCTGGTAGGCAAGAATAACAGATGTGGGGGAGGGATTTAAAAAATAATAAAATAAAAGCCTAGCTCTCTTGCCTCAAGGCAGTACGGGCTCTGTGGTGTAATGTTGCTCCAAAGTTCCCGGTGGGATCAAGTTGAGGCTAGACTTCACCTGGAACCACCACATCTTTGTTCATCTCTGTTTCTTCTTCCCAATCCTGCTTTTCTCACTTGTGTGAAGATAAGCTTTGAGTTGTTGTTGTTGCTGTTGTTAAGTGTTGCCGAGTCATTTCTGACTCATAGTGACCTCGTATAGGGTTTCTGAGGTGTAGCTGGTGAGTTTGAACCGCCAACCTTGTAGTTCAAACCAGTATCCAGTGTTCATCCAACAGCACCACAATTTTGAGAGGATTCCCTTACTATGTCACTTATCACTTGCACATAAATCCCTATCTCAGGCTCTCCTTCTAGAAAAGTCAGATTAGTGCAAATCTGTAAAGAATACTCATGAAGAAACAACATGTATGAAGAAAAAAAATGGGTGAGGAGGGTTACATTATGAAAGTGATGTTGTAGGTAAATTAGTTTAGAAAGAGCATATAAAGTAGGTTGGCTGGTTGTTGTTGTTATATGCCGTGGAGTCGATTCAGACTCATAGCGACCCTGCACAGGGTTTCCAAGGCTGTAAATCTTTACGGGAGCAGAAAGCCTTATCTTTCTCCCGCAGAACAGCTGGTAGTTTCGAACTGATGACCTTGCAGTTCGCAGTCCGATTCGTAACCACTATGCTACCAGAGCTCCTTAGGTTGGTTGGTAGGGGTTGGGAAAAAAAGATGTGATTGGAACTCAGAAATATGTAGAAAAGGTTTAAAATTAAGCACTGAGAGAAAAATAATTATTTCCTGTGACATGGGAAAAACAGAGACCCTAAGGGGAGGTACACAGGAAAGGCGCTCTATATGGCTTAGTGGATTACACATTGGACTGCTAAACACAAGGTCAACAAAATACACCAGCTACTCTGCAGGAGAAAGATGAGGTTTTCTACTCTGGTAAAGCTGTACAGTAGCCTTGGAAACCCTATACAGGGTCACTATGAGTCAGAACCAACATAACCACCAACCACAAAGGGAAGAACGGGAGGTTACTCTTCAAAATTGTGTTTTTTCCTTAAAAGGAAAAAAAATTTTTCAACAGCACTGCCAGTGTTATTTTCATAAATTCTCACAATCAAACAGGCTAATATCATCTAACACAAGTGTTTAAAAACTTAAGAATTATAATTAACAATAGGATTCTAAAATGCTTCCTTTTCTTTTGAGCTCCTGAATATGTGTATTCAGAAATCTGAAGACAAGTTTAAGTCACATACCCAGATGTTTGTAACAGGTTAATGTGTTAGCTTTTGCTTTGAAGGAACTGAAAATAATCTTTATTAGTTAGAAGCTAATGCTAATTACTTAAATTGGTGGTGCATCTAAACAGGGTAGTATCATCTGTTTTCACTGGGTCTTGGATCAGAAAAGGATGGCTCGATGTGAAGAAGAGTTGTTTTTGTTGTTGTTAAGTGCCATCAAGTCAGTTCCAACCCATAGCGACCCTATATAGGGTTTCCAAGGAGCTACTGGTGATCTTGAACCACCGACCTTGCAGTTCAAACTGCTTGCAGTCTGGCGCAATAACCGACGGCGCCACAACAGGACTCCATGAAGAAGAGTAGTTGGTATGAAGAGTAGTTGGTATGAAATAAATGATACACTATCAAGGAAAGAGCTTGTACTCTGTATGAACTTTCTACTCAGAATGTGAGGAAAAGTCCATCGTCATTAACATTTTGTTTTTTATTTGTCTTTTGTGATCTCAAACGAGTTAAGCCTCTTGGCCTCTTAATTTCCTCTCAAAATCCATACTAATTAAAACTGCCTCTATGTACAAATGACTATTTACTAATTGGTTAAATCTCTATGTATTAAAATGTACAGCTACATGCTGTTATATGTCATCAAGTTGATTCTGACTCATAGTGACCCTGTACCTGTATAGGGTTTCCAAGACTGTAAATCTTAACAGCAGCAAAAAGCCTCACCTTGCTCCCACAGAGTGAAAGCAAGTGGTGGATTTGAACTATCAATCTTGTTGGAGCAGGCCAATGTTTACCCTACTCTCCTACAAAGCCACCAATGCACCCATATGGCTAATAGCTATCAAAATATAAAATACACATAACTTTTAATTCAACAGTAACACTGATAGGAACTGTTTCTATTTTAAAATGTAAAAAAGGCCTCACAAGAGGAAACTAATTAAAAAGCCATCGAAATAGATTATAGGTGCCTGCCCTGCTGGAGCTTATTGTACAGAGCCACTGCGTTCCTCTCTCAAAGAATTGTTTAGTGCTATCAAGTCAGGTCCTACTCATAGCGACCGTGAATAGCGTTCCTGAGAAGCAGCTGTTGAGTTTGAACCACTAACCTTGCTTATCCTATGGCACCATACCAGGGTTCCTCTCAGAGAATGGTGCTGGTAGTGGTGTGCTGTGGAGTCGGTTCCGACTCAAAGCCACTCTGAATAGGGTTCCCAAGGCTGTAAATCTTTACAGAAGCAGAAAGCCATATCTTTCTCCCAAAATCAATGAATAGGAAAGTAAAAATTAATAAAAATTAAAACTAGGAAAGTAAAATGATTGTTTGGGGAAAAAAAAAAAAAAGTACTGACATCATCAGACTATTTTCTTCACGTCATTTGTCTAAAACTTGTGCAGCTCTTCAATAATTTCCAAAAGATCCTAATGTCTAAGACCTGAATTCAATTTAAGTATGTAAAAAAGTTTTCCTATTTGGTTTTAAAGATAAATGGCTACTCATCCAGACAGTACATATAATTTTACCTGTATAAATCCTTTAACTAAAAATTTCTAGAACAGCAATAGCAAAGAACAGAGAAGCATTTTCCACAGTGTTTTCCACACACTCTAGTTCCATGCGGGGCTCATGGAAAAACATTCAGTAATCAATACACTGGTTTGAGAGGTTATCACATATTTTATTCCCCTCTTAAAAAAATTTGCAACGATGATAATTCAAGATGCTATAAATGAGGAAAAATATGTTTTCCAAATTTAATATAAAAATATTTCTGTACTCATCAAAATTAAAACCCTCAGTGATAAATTGGTAAAACGATCAAGCTACTTTCCTTATTAAACTTATAAATTCCGAGTTAACACTCAACTCACATTCCCTCTATTCCCTCATTCTCCTCCACTTCCCCTCAATCCACAGTGGTTCTCACTTTATAAAATTCATAAAAATCCCAGTGAAGTTGTTAAAACAAATTCTTGGTCCTCATTTCCAGAAATTCTGATTCCGTACAGGAATATGTATTCTTTACAAATATTCCAGGTGATTTCAGTACAGGTCATATGTATGCATGCTCAAAATGCCTGCAATGTTACAGTCAAGTTTTTTAAAAAAGACAGAAAATCACTGACTGTTTTACTACTGAAGTCAGAGTAATTTTTTAAAAATAATCGTAGTCTAGAAAATTCAGTCTTCAAGTGAATATATTCGAACATTACTTTTCTATCGAGGAAATTGCCGAAAAGAGATAAATTAAGGAAAGCCAAACTACATCCTAAAGAATGTTCCGTAATATACTGCTCAGAATATTAAGGCCAAGAGCTTTACGCTAAAATAAGAATTCTTAGCCTGAGTCCCAAAGAAAAGCTTCAAGAATTCTTAAATTCCCTGAAACAATATATACAGTTTTGTGAGAATGTGTATACATGCCTTTTTATGGGGAAATAATTCCTAGCTTTCACCAATTCTCATGCTGCTCGAGACCCAATTTAAGAGTCATTATATATTTATTTGAAACAATGGTAGCAGAAACTGCTTCTTGCCGCCATGAAACATGAACACAAAAACATATTTCTCAGTGGTGTTCTCTCTCTCGCAGAGCCAAACAAAAAGCAATTTACCTTTGTAGAGTCATATTCAAAGAGCCTGTACACCCCTTAATCTTGTTCTGGGCTTCAAGATGAGTCATTCCATGTGTACTTATTCCATCAATGCTGAGAACCACATCACCTATTCTCACATTTGCCTGGGATGCCTTGCCGCCATCTTTGAGCTGTAAAAAATAAATTACATTAGGATTATTATTTTTTTAAATGTAATAGTAAACACTAAGGATAAATTATACTTTTGTTAATAGCCAAAGAAAAGTTTATTGCCATACTATTAGAGAAAGTATTACATGGACCGGGGGGCAGGGGAGGGACACAAAACCTTGCTTAACACAACTTTATTTTCTTTACATCTTTACCGGCTATTCAAAAACCAGTTTTTGAGAAAGGTTCCCTGATAATCACTCCATTTTCTAAATTATGCAACAGTAGTGTATGATTGTTATGAGTAAAACAGAGAAGTAGTCAAGAAAACTTCTGTTTTAGTAGAAGTAGAAGAATGTAATATGAGTGGGGTATTTTAGACTCTTTTACAGATAATTTAGAAAACTCTTTAAACAGCTGTATTTTGTTCGAACACAAAGGATAATATAGAGCGAAGATATACTGAGGGATCATTCCTGCTGAGTACAGGTTATATCCGGTATTTTGGGGACTGAAGTATTTTAGATCACATGCCCAAATGTCTTTTATATTGGTTGTGCTTCCTGCTCTAAAACTTTAACAGAATGGGAAGAAAGAAATGAGTCGTGTCTGAGACTTCCAGACATTTTACAGTCCTTAATTCCCAACCTCCCTCTTTCCTTGCTCAATAAAAATTTCTTTGACTTTATATTATCTAAGCTTGCTTCAGATTTCAAGTGTATATATTTTATTGTTCCAAAAAAGTAAAAATATAAATTTACAGTAAAATGAAAAGATAATGAAATTTTCATAAATACCTAGAAAAATGAAACAAGTACAAATTAAAAGAAACATTCTAGTCTTAATGACAAACTCAGCATTCAATACTTACAACATGTAAATCGCATTGAACAGAGTTATAGGAAGACAGATGAGACCAGACAAAAAAATAAAGAAAATAATCAGTAGTCTTACATTCTTGTAATAACTAAAATCAAAGGTTCTAAAGAACATTTAGTAAAATTACTTTTTAATTAAAAACAAAAACAAAACTCAGGTCACTTAACAAGAACAGAGTGCTAACAATGGACATTTTTTTATTATCATCAGTGGTCAAATTCTTTTCTTAAAAACAATGATCAGAGAAAAGCAATTACAGTCTATAAAAACAAGTACCTTCCTATCCAAAAATTGAGCAAATACTGTTGACTGCTAGATTCTTCAAGACAGGAACCATATCTATATATACTTATATATCTATTCTTCAAGACAGGAACCATATCTATATATCTATAAAGAAAAACTTTTCTTCCCCGTAAGACTTCTGATGTGGCACTGTAGGATCAGCACTGGAATTCGACCCACAAGGTCGGCAGTTCAAACCCACCAGGCTGCTTTTTGGAAACCCTATACAGGGTCACTGAGTTGGAACTGACACAATGGCACTTAACAGCAACAACAACATATATCCCAGTATGAACGCCTGGTGTGGTGATGTAGGATAAGCACTGGATTGCAAACCACAAAATCAGTAGTTCAAACCCACCAGCTACTCCTTGGAAATCCTGTACAGGTTCATTGTGAGTCAGAATTAACTCAACACACTAACAATAAACACAACCCTAAAAGTTTTGGTGCAGTGCTGTAAAACAAGCACTGGACTGCTAACTGTACGGCTGGTGGTTCAAACCCACCAGCTACTATTCAGAAACCCTTTCCAGGACCTACAGGGTCAGTATGAGTCAGAACCCACTCGGCAGCGCTTAACAACATATATCCCTAATGATGTATGTGTGAACGATGCATTAAAAATCTTCATGGAATATATGCTGAGTGAATAGATGTCACAAATGTGTTATTTACTGCTGGCAAAATCTATTACTTGTGAAATTAGGAAAAATGAAAACTTTATATATAAATATAAAACTTGAAATATTATTTACTTTACAAATATTGAACATATCAGGGAGCTTCGGAAGTTTGTAGAAAATCAAATAGAAAAGAATGGAATTTTCCCATAGACTTTTTGAAGACTGCCACCCCCCCTCCCACAGCTATGTTGCTTTTGTTGTTAAGTGCTGTTGAGTTGGTTCCGACTCATACAACCCTGTATAAGGTGTGGTGCTGCGGGTTAAAGTGCTGGACTGCAAGGTCAGCGTGAACCGCAAGGTTGGCTGTTCAAGCTCACCAGCTGCTCCTTGGAAACCGTATACAGGGTCGCTACAAATTGGGACCAACTCGACAGCACATTAACAACAACAACATTAGGTTTATGATGAAATCCTGATGTGGTGCTGCTGTAGGATCAACACTGGATTGTTAGCCACTAGGTTGGTGCTTCAAACCCACCAGCTGCTCCTTGAAAATCCTATAGCAGGCACTTGAAAGCCTATACAGGCACTTAACAAGAGTTTCCAAGGAGCAACTGATGGGGGGTTTGAACTAATGATCTTTAGGTTATCAGTCCAGTGCTTACCTTATACCACCACACCAGAACTCCATAGTTATGCTGTTGTTATGTGTCACTGAGTCAGTTCTTACTCAAAGCTACCCTGCATAGGGTTTCCAAGGAGTGGCTGCTGGATTTGAACCACCAACCTTGTAGTCAGCAGTCCAGTGCTGACTTAACAGCACCACAACAGAACTAGTGACTGAAACCGTTCTTAAAATTAGTAAGAAAACCATCTATAGCAAGTATATATAAAATATAATAGGGGAAAATGTAAATAACATTCCAAGCCCCCAAAATTAAATACTCTGTTACATACACAGCACTATGTAGTGATTCTATTCTTGTCTCTGTACTAATAGAAACAAACAAAACAACCCCATATACAGCCATCCAGATATTTAAAGAAAATTTTTGGTAATAAATAAAATTCCCAAAGTAACAAAACAGGTTAAAATTTAAATCAAACGAATATTATCAATATAGCTATATTATATATGCATACATATGCATTTTTATTATATATAATATATACTTGCATAGTAGACAAAGTACTTGAAAATTAAATGGAGCAGATTTCAAGATTGCAGAACTAAATCTAAGAAGAATATAAAACAAAATTCTATTAAATCTATTTTAAAACATGTAGGCCTAGTTACTGAAATGTGAAAGCAATGTGTATGCATGTCTTCAAGAGTATGGAAAAGGTCTTCTAAAATAACAATAAATGTATTAAATTATATTTTCACTATATCAAATACTGTTGTTGTTGTTAAGTGTCATCGAGTTGGTTCTGACTCATAGCAACGAGGAGCAGGAGAGAGTCTGAACTGCTGATCTTGTGGTTCACAGTCCCGTGTTGATCCAACAGCGCTACACCATGAGTCCATATCAAATAATAGGTACTTGCTATTGTCCAGTGTCATCTAGTCAGTTCTGACTACAGATACTCTGTATAGTTTCCAAGGAATGGTTGGTGGATTTCAACTGCCAACCTGGTGGTTAGCAGTCCAGTGCAGATCCTACAGTGCCATACTATCTTTTAATAATTAAGACCTGTTAATTTAATAATCAATAATATATATAATTTAATAATGGAAAATATCAATTACTCTTCTCTGCTTCATAGAACAGGAGTTCTAGTGTGCAGCTATAGGATAAAAACTTCACAGAACTAAATGTGTTTATATTGTGAAGTACATTTACATGGAAAACAGGTTCTAAAGCCAATGATGCCACTGTTTTTTATGAGACTTAGGGAAAGCCACTTCGTTTACTTCATAGGGATGCTTATAATGACTATATGAGATAAATGTTAGCTATTATTATTGTCCTTGCCTTAGATTACTAAACTGAGAAACATAAAGGCTACACCAGATGATCTTCAAAGCTTTAATGTGAGCTATCTGTGACCTATTTGTACAAAAGTACAATTCGAACCCCAAGATGAAAGTAAAATCTGAAAGACTGTAAAACAAGAGGACATCCATTCCTTACTAAAATGAGCAAATGAATTAAGATTTATAATCCTGATGAAAGTACAAACATTATTCTATATTTTATGTTAGCCAAAAAGGAAGTGAAATAATATTAACAACTAGAAGTAGGACACAGCTCAATAATTTCACCATCCTTAAACAGCCTTAAAACAATAAAACCTAAGGGCATTTTCTCATTACACGTTACCCAAGAGAAGCAATCTATATATTCACAATCTAGTAGTAATACACAAGGAGCCATGGTAGCATAGTTGGTGATGTGTTGGGCAGCAGTTCAAATCCACCAGCCACTCCTCAGGAGAAAGATGAAGCTTTCTGCTCTCGTAAAGATTTACATAAAGATTTACAGCCTCAGAAACTGATGTAACAGCTCACCACATATATTTATAGGGTAGTGATATGGTTCTGTAAGACAAGTTAACCATAAGGTCAGTGGTTCCAACCCACCAGTCGCTCCTCAGAAACCCTAAATAGGGTAGACTATGAGTTGGCACCAATTTGAGGGCATTTAATAACAACAGTAGTAATATAATGGTAATTATAGACAGAAAGAAAATATTCTTAAGCAAATCCAATGTCATAGCTAGATTAGTTACTCCTATGCTACAGTTGCCTAATAAGATTTTGAAATTCTATGGTCTTAAAAAATCCAAAACCCACTTCACTATACTATCACTGCTTTCTGTAGTTTCAGATAATGGGCACAAAAAACTCAAAAAGCTTCCTGTGAAATCAGCCTCTTTCTTCAGTTACCACAATCAGGAAAACTCACTAAACTTTGCTGATCCTTCCATTCCTCTCCCACTGCCATCACCATGCTAGTCCATATCCATCTTTCACCTGATCTATTTTAAGAGGTCTCCAAAGAATTTTCCTACCTTGGAACTCTCCATATTCCTCTCCCTTTCCTCCATTTTCACATTTCAAAAATGGTGGCTCTATTACCAATTCACACTGGAGAATTCCAGTAATGTCAACTGCTTATTAATAAAATGGTGGTGGTTGTGGTGGTATGCCATGGAGTTGGTTCAAATTCATAGCAACCCTGCATAGGGTTTCCGAGGTTATAAATCTTTACGGGAACAGAAAGCCT